GCCTGTGTGTCTTATATAGTAACAGTGAATAAGTAAAAAATAAATTAAAGGTGTGGAAATTATAAAATACTATAAATATTATAATGTATAATTATATTCTATGAATAAATATATTACAAGATAAAATATTATGATGTATAATTATATTCTGTGAATAAATATACTATTCAAAAAAAGTAGGGGATATTTGATTTTTAAGTGTTATTAAAGTCACCTAATGAAACTGACGAAGAAACAAATGACAAAATGAAATGAAGTTCACATTCATCGATTTATTCCAAATGATCGTTAGACTAAGTAAGGCACAGACTGACCATTATAAGGGTAAAATGATACCCGGGGTCAAACAGCAAAGTTACCACAGCATCACAACCAAGTCAGTAACGGGTAAATCCTCCTCTGTTTGCCAAACAAGCATTGATCCGACGTGGCATACTCCTAATGAGACGTCTAAGGTCATTTTGGTCCAGATTGTCCCATTCCTGTTGCAACGCAGCAGCAAGTTCTTGGACATTGGCAGGACGTTGTTGACGTTGACTTAACCTCTGTCCAAGCATGTCCCAGACATGCTCGATGGGGGAGAGGTCGGGACTCAGTGCTGGCCAAGGTAATGTGGTGATGTTCTGTTGTTTGAGGTAACCTGTAACGATCCTGGCCCTGTGACATCTTGCGTTGTCGTCCTGGAAGATGAAACGGCGGCCATGACGTCGTGCGAACGGCACAACATGGACTGCCAAGATGTTGTCCCGGTAGTACTGGCCTGTAACACGCCCTGCAACAACATGTAAAGCCGTTCTTCCAGCAACAGTGATGCCTCCCCACATCATAACAGAACCACCCCCAAATCGATCATGTCTGATGACGTTAACGTCTTGGAAGCGCTCGTTTCGACGACGCCACACCCTCCTACGTCTGTCCTAAAAATCAACAGTGAACCTTGACTCATCTGAAAACATCACATTGCTCCAGCGTCGATTATCCCAGTGTTGACGATCCCTACACCAACGACGTCTTGCCTGAATGTGATGATCTCTCAAACAAGGACGTCGGGCGCGAAGGTGACCCCTATGCAGTCGATTCCGAATCGTCTGGCCACTCACTCTCACACCAGTGTCTGTTTGAAGACGAGCGCTGATCTGATTTGCTGTGATGACACGATTTCTCAAGGCCAAGGTACGGATAAATCGATCCTGGGCTTGAGTTGTCGCCCTTGGTCGACCTGAGCGTGGTCTGTCCTGTACAGATTGTGTATCACGGTATCTGGACCATAGCCTGCTTATGACAGACTGAGAAACATTCATCGTCCGCGCCACAACCGCCTGTGTTGTGCTGATCTGTAGCATGCCAAGGGCACGTAACCTTTCATTTTGGGTAAGCCGACGCATATCAAAATTTGTTTTCTGGTCACTAAAACAATTAAACTGATGTTTCCACCCTGGAATTCAATGCCACAATGACTGTAACATTCAAAGTCAGAGTCGTGCAAATCTTGGGTTGGACCCCCATGATGATCCCAAGCATCACCTGCATTCCATGCGGTAGCTATTGGTGCGTTTGGGCGTCACATGTAACTGGAAATGTTTCTTCTGTTAGGTTCTATAGTGACTTTTTTCGTAGTCATTTGCATATTTTAGTATTATGCCCCCAAAATCAAATATCCCCTACTTTTTTTGAATAGTATATATTACAAGCTAAAATAAATATCATTAGTATATCATGTATTATATATATGACTGATATCATTACAATATCATTAGACCTCTACTATTGATCAATCAATTATATGTTATGATACTTCGTTTAGTCATAAAATACTATATTACTCGTCTAATGATAGCAGTTGATTTAATGTTGATTCAGTTCACTTGAATAGATGTTCGTTATACCCATTATAAATAATTACATCACTTGTACAATATAGCTTAGGTTAACCTTTGTTACAATTCTGATTCATTCCACATGGGAGCCACGGTGTCTCAGTGAGTAAGACGTTAACTCGCTAACCTGTCAGTGATGTAGGACAACGTATAGTCCTTTGGATGGGATGAAACACCAAGGTGAGGTCCATTGTACATATTGGCATGCACATAAAAGAACCCTTGAGAGTTGGAATTGGAAATAAGAGTAGGCCGTAGAGCCTCTGTCCGAACAAAATTTATCTCATAGCACACTGCATTAGCCCAGTCGGAGCTGAACAGTAGGACGTTAAAATCCATTTCATTTCATTTCACTTGAAATATACTGATTATAGACATTAATAATTCCCATCATATCTTGTAATACAGTAAACTTTGATGTTAATTATTCTCCACTATAAACCAATGATATGCTGGGTTTAGTATTAATTGGCCATCTATTATAGTTCATATAATATTAATAGTACATCATACTATGATATGCTTGGTTTAGTAGTAATTGGTTATCTATTATAGTTCATATAATATTAATAGTACATCATACTATGATATGCTTGGTTTAGTAGTAATTGGCCATCTATAATAGTTCATATAATATAAATAATATAGGATGTAGGTAATAGTTAACATGTACAGAAATTATTGACCTTAATAAGAGAGAGAGAGAGAGAGAGAGAGAGTTTCGTTATTAACATATGTTTCAATTTTATGTAAATGATTCGCTTATGCGTATGGGTCTTTAGAAGTGGGAGCAAAATTAAGAGGATGGGCCCTACTTCTTGTCCCGTACAAGCGGGGAATCGAAACCACACCACTTGACTCATTGCAGACCTTATGATCCAACGCGCATGCGTTAACCTTTCGGTCACGCAACCTCCCGCAATATTTGGAGAATTAATCTCTCAACTAAATATCCGCTTCAACCACATGGATATTAAAGATACATTGTCACAAATATATTTATCAGGTGGTTATTCCCAGTAAAAGTATGACATGATATAAGGGCGTGGCTTATAAACATTCCATGGACTACTTTGATGTAAAAGGACCCAGACACGTACTTTTCAGTCTGATTCAAACACAAATCCTATTTCGTTTCGTTTTTTATAGTTCAAAATTTCCTTTTACTTGTCTTCACAACACTAGGATCTGGATGAGTTGTTATATTTAATCTCTATTTTAATCGGAGTGTCTAACACATTCGAACCATGTATGTTTTTTGATTAAATATTGGACAGTTTTGAGATATCAATAAAGAAGAATAAATGCTTGCATTGTTTTAAAATATTGGACAGATTTGAGATATCAATAATGCAGAATAAGTATTTGCATTGTGTAAACAGTACATTTGTTAAACTAAACATACACCATGACGTCACATTAATAATGATGTCATGGTTTAAACAGTACATTTGTTAACTATTCCCCAGATTCAAAAGAAAATACATCCAAAACAGTTTTCTGTTAACACTGTGGGGTTCTTCAGAAGCAGATACGAGAATTAGAAGAGAAGCTGGATAAAGCCAACCAAAAACTGGAAGCTAACCGAAACATTGATATACACGTCAATACCTACACAGGTATGTAGATATACCTACAGTGTTTTATCAAAATTCAGATTTTTCACTCAAAATTTAAAACACACCCTTGAACGCTAAGACCTTGAACAGGATCAACTGTTTGTTGCTAGTTAAGCTATGGTCCTGCTTAAGCTAGTTTTGTCCCGAATGAAAGCAATACTGATGTTTTGCTCCCCTGATGTAAATCTTGTTCCCCATTTAGGGAGCAATGGTGCCCCAGTAAAACATTGGCTCGCTAACCTGTGGGTCCCATGTTCGATCCCTGCGTTGTCCGAGAATGTTTATCGCGACTTTCCGGCGTGGTTCCTCCTTGCCAGTGGTGCAGGACAAAGGGACAACATATGGTCGGTCGGATTTTGACGAAACGCCGCGGTCCCGTGTACACATTGATGTGTAAATGAAAGATCTCTTGGCAGTTGGAATTCGATATAAGAGTAGGCTGTAGAGCCACTGTCCGGGTAAAATTTCCCTCATACTACATGTGGCGTATGCCCGTCTTCATAAATCCAATCGTAGCAGAACAGTAGGACGTTAAACCCCATTTCATTTTCGTTCTCCAGTTAAAGCGATACTTGTCAAATGTTTAACATGTTGAAATCTGGAGAGAGTCCTATAATCCTATATATAAACAAACATGTTTTGATTTTTTAGACAAGGTATTGCCACGAGCCGGTAGAGTTAATAAAAGAACAGCAGAGAAATATAAAGTAAGCAGGCCTATTTATAATTCGGCCGAATGGTTAGCTTGTTTCATTTGCAGTAAGCCCCCCCCCCCCCCCCTCTAAAATCAATCATAAAAAAACCCTTTGTATACAATTTACAGGTTCAGCCATGTCGGACTAGATTACGCGACTCATAGTCATGGAAATATTTTTATGACGCGTTTAATCAATGACGTCACATATTTCTGACGTCAATGAAAATAATTCTCACACTTTTTTTTTGTTAACAAAATAAATCATACAATTTAGATCTAAATTAAATTCAATTACGACAGTTTAGGCGCCTACAGACTATAATTTAAGTAAATAAAATTGAATTAACAAAATGAAACTAGATTTGCCACGGCTAGATCTTTTTCTTAAGGCCAACTCAATTCTCGTCGAGGTCGCGGAGATGTAATAAGTAGAGCGCGTGAGATTGTAGGTTAGGGTTAGATTAAGTATTAGGGCTATGTCCAGGGTTCGGGTTAGGGTTGGGTTTAGCGTTAACCCTGTTTACATCTCGTGACCTTTGACCAAACTTGAAGTTGGCCTTATCAATTAGATTTAACTCTCTGTGCCTATCTTCCTATAAATTTTACTCGAAACGAAACATACTTTTATATAATTAATGTTGCAGTGTTTTCGGCACTATATCCTTCCGGTACATTTAACCAAATGTGAATATTTTTGGACATGGTAGGCCAACATTAGATAAATTCAATGACTTAATATTGAAAATAACTGAAAAGTAGATAAATTTCGTTTCGTGTGAAATTCTGTGATTCAAATTTGAATTTGCTAGAGTTCAACAAGGTCATTTCCTGATCGGTTTGCCGTGGAGTTTTTGGAAATCTCGTTAATAAATCAACAGTAAAAAAATATTTTGAAGAACAAAAATGGATATGATATGTAAGTTTAACGTGTTAGCAGAGTAGGTAACTGAAAATTATGAATTTTACTGTCAGCTGAAAGAAGCAAACCAGTTGTCAACATTTGGCTGCGTCGAGTTGTTTTGTTTAGATTTTGAGCGGATACCAAATCACCGGAATTCACTTTGCAAATATCAAAATTTGACCCCAAGGCCTTCCTCTGTACATATATTTTGCATTAATATTAATAATAAATAATTGAAAAACACCGATGATCACCGGAATTCACTTTTAAAAACATATAAACACCGGAATTCACTTTAAAAAAATGGGGGGTTGGATGGCCGAATGGTTAGCACGTGCGCGCTGCGCTGTATCATACGGTCTGTCATTGAGTCAACTGGTGGGATTTCGATTCCCCGGTTGTACGTGACAAGGAGTAGGGTTGCTGTCCTACCTCGTGGGTTTTCTCCGGGTCCTCCGGTTTCCTCCCACTGCTAAAGACCCCTACGTGCAAGTGAATTATTGAAATAAAATTGAACCATGTGTTAGTCCCGAAATGACCTAGTTTGTGTCGAGTTGAGGTTAAACCCCATTTCTCTCTCTCTCTCTCTCTCTCTCTCTCTCACTTTCTGTATCATTAAGTCTGTCATTGAGTCATCTGGCGTGGTTTCGAATCCCCGGTTGTACGTGACAAGGAGTAGGGTCGCCTGTCCAACCTCATGGGTTTTGTCCGGGTCCTCCGGTTTCCTCCCACTGCTAAAGACCCCTACGCGCAAGCGAATTATGGAAATAAAATTGAATCATGTGTTAGGCCCGAAATGACCTAGTTTGTGTCGAGTGGACGTTTAAACCCCATTCTCTCTCTCTCTCTCTCTCTCTCTCTCTCACTTTCAAAATATGAGAATTCGCCCACAAGCCCTTCCTGCTTACATATATTTTGCATTAATATTAATAATGAATTTCCTTAAATACACCAAAAATGACTACTACATACGCCTTTTAGATTTAACTTGTCTCTTTGTAAATTTCACATAAATGGTCATTTCGAGACTTACACATGGTTCAATTATCTTTCAATAATTCACATGCGCGTATGGGTTTTTTGGGGAGGGGGCAGAGGAATCGGCTTACACTACATGAAAATCTGACCAGTTGTACTGGGAGGTCATGTCAGGTGTCATACGGGCGGCTTTTGACCCTATGAAAGATATTGATTAATCAATCAGCTTTAACGTTTCTAGGGGTTTACCCACAGTTCCGTGAAGATCACGGCAAGAACTCGCCGTAACAGACCGTTTCATTAGCTAATTTCTCACATCAACTAGAACGCCGGTTACATAACAACTCTTCCAGTGTAGTAAAGAAAAGAAAACAAAATTTTGTACTATTAAAAAACATGAAACGAAATAGGATTTATAAAGAGCCGTTACCTTCAATGTGCCTACATATTTCTTGTAGCATATAGTCGATCATGACTCGTACTGGCTTTATATAACTTTTGGGAAATATTCCCCCTTATTTTTAGTTTGTTTTTTATACGCCTACATTGAAATGTAGTCATATATTCAATTGTGTCACCCCCATTCGTCAATTCGTTGGTCCGGCGTCCACAATTGTTTGTGGACATTCTAGAGGCCAAAGTGAATATCCGATTGACATTAAATTTATACACAGTGTTTAAGGTCATGAGACGAAGAAGCCTATTGATTTTCAGCAATTTCTGATAATTACTGCCAGAGTTATGGCCTTTGATCACTTCAAAATATCTTGTGGATGCTCTAGAAGCTAAAGATGATATCCGATTGACTTCAAATTTACACTCAGTGTTCGAGGTCATGCGACGAAGAATCATATTGATTTTCAACATTTCTGATAATTACTGCCAAAGTTATGACCCTTGATCACTTTGAAAAATCTTGTGACGTCTAGAGGCTAAAGTTATCATCGGATTGGCTTCAGTTTAAGGTCTTGAGATGAACAAGTATATTGATTTTCAATGAATTTTGATAACTTGAACAGCTAAATGTTTCGTATACTAAACGTTAGCATGGGGCAGAACTTTACACAAACAAATCAAATTCTAATGATTTTCTGATAATTACATGAATTGATGAGTTGTTGTTACTCTTAATTGGTTATTAGTGTATTATAATTGTTTCATTACTAAAAAATGTAAAAATATGCGACAACACTTGTTGACTGCCCGGATGATTTAGCTGCTGTGGGTTGCCTAGGGGGTTGGATCGCTGAATGGTTAGCGTGCGCGTGCTGTATCATAAGGTCTGTCATTGAGTCAGCTGGCGTGGTTTCGAGTCCCCAGTTGTACGTGACAAGGAGTAGGGTCGCCCGCCAACCTCGTGGGTTTTCTCCGTGTTCTCCTATTTCCTCCCACTGCTAAATACCCCTACGCGCAAGCCAATTATTGACATAAAATTAAACCATATGTTAGTCCCGAAATGACCTAGTTTGTGTCGAGTAGAAGTTAAACCCCAATTCTCTCTCTCTGTGTCTCTCTCTCCTCTCTGGACTTTCGGGGATCACGTGGGTAAGACGCTGTCTCGTTAGCCTGGAGGTCGGGTGTTCAATCCCTGCATTGGCCGAGAAAGTTCCCCCTTGTCAGTGATGCAGGACGGAGGGCCTGACAAGGACGGCTGTCTAGTCATGCGGATGGGACGAAAAACCGAGGTCCTGTGTATACATTGGAATGCACGTAAAAGATCCCTTGGCAGTTGGAATTCGATATAAAAGTAGGCGATAGTGCCGCTGCCCGGGCAAAATTTCCCTCATAGCACACTGCATAGTGTATGCCCGTCTTCATTAGCCCAGCATAGGAGCAAAACAGTAGGACGTTAAACCCCATTTCATTTCATTTCTCTGGACTTTTACGGTCGACCTCCTGGATCCATTCACTCGATCTGACATGTACAGTTGTTGTGTGGTGCAGTAGCAGATATTGGACAGGTCAGTCGATTTGCACTGGCCAAGACAGTTAACATGGATTTTCCACAGGGTTCCCCCTAGTCACTGGTGCAGAATGGGACACTTGTCAGTCTGATTCCAAATCAGAGTAGGCCGCTGTCCGGACATAATTTCCTGCATAGCACACCGTATGACATATGCCCATTTTAATTAGCCCAGTCGGAACAGAACAGTAGGACATTAATCTTGATTTCATTTCAAACATTTAGAAATATTTTTTTCTCTATTTTAGATAAAACAAACTGAACAAGTTGGATCAGGAAAGACTATCACAATGCCTAGAAGAAAAAGGAGCAAATTGATTAAAAATTTACAACAACATTGGCGTAAATGGCGTGATAGCATTGCAGATAAGCCCCTTCCGGATTCAACAAATGAACCCCTTCCTGATTCAACAAATGAACCTCTTCCTGGGTCACAAGATCAACCTCTTCCTGGATCACAAGATGAACACTTTCCTGGATCACAAGATGAACCCCTTCCGGGATCAATAGATGAACCCTTTCCTGGATCACGAGATGAACCCCTTCCGGGATCACCAGATCAACCCCCTCTTGCTTCAAGAGATCAACTGGTATGTTTGATATCTACATGTAAGCTTATCTACAAAAAAAGAAAAGCAGTTCATGTTTTTTTTTTGTTGTATATTTTTTTTTTTTGGCTGAGAAATTTCATCAGCTGTTTCCGACGTGGTTTCGCCTTGTGAGTGGTGCAGGATGGGGATAAAAGACTGAGGTCCTGTGTACACATTGGTGCACACATAAAAGATCCCTTGGCAGTTGGAATTTGATATAAGAGTAGGCTTTTGCGCTGCTGTCCGGGCAAAATTGCCCTCATGGCACACTGTATGACATATGCCCATCATCGTTAGCCCAGTCGAAGCAGAAAAGTAGATAGTTAAACCCCATTTTATTTCATCAGTATTTTTTCAGACAATCCTTCCCTTATAGAAGATTGTATGGCTTATGCCCGTCTTCATAAGCCCAGTTGAAGCAGGCTTGTAACAATCTATACCCCGACGCCCGGGCCTACCAAAATTAACTTACAGGCTAGTGATCTATTTAACCGTACTAATCCTGGGCTAGTGCCCTTTTACTGGTTTGTAAATTAATCTAGAGATATAGATAAATAAACTGTAAAAACATCCTACATTTATTTCTCCAATTCCACACAAAACTCTATTATAACAATAGATTTTCTGTATAAAACTTAGGGCAGTATGGACATTTTTAGTACCTCGTCGATTCATTCATTCTTGACATTTTTCTCCACCTTGCACTCTTTGACAAGTCACGTATTCACCAGTTGAAATCAGGTTGATTTTTAAAAAAAAAAGCCTACATAATATTTTATAAGATTGGTTTTGACATAAATATTTGAAAGCATGCCATTGGATTTTCAAATACAAAATAATTTTGATTATTTAACATGTCCGGTATTTCCAAAGAATTTACTACACGTGTTCGTTGCACATGGCATGCTCAATGGTACCAGTAACTCATGTGTCGTCAACTTTGACCCTATCGACACACAGCATAGTGCTCGAGTGATAATGTAAACAGTTTTACTATCCTGTCTATTTTAATATTATATCAGCACATCAAACTGATTTCCTTTTGAGACTGTTTATAGAGTGACCAAGTTAATAAATACTGTAAAACAATTAACTTGTTAATCAGTCGAGACTGTCTCATGCTTTGCAGTGAGTACTTACAATAACATAACGCACCGTATTCCGTATACAACAAAACTTCAAGTGGGAATTTATAGACATCAATTTCCCGTGATATATTACAAAAAAACTGAGTAGCCGTTTACATCCTTAATTGTTAGGCAATGAAGTCTACGATCTTTATTCAAAAACATAGGTTGGCAGGTAACAAAACAAAACAGGCGCCCAAATATTGAAGATCAAAGCTTGTACCTTGTCGAACTACGGACTAGTGGAAATTAATGCCGGGCTAGTGTCTGACAGTAGACTAGTAGCCCATCTAGTGGATTCAAAAATTTTTTTACGCCCCTGGTAAGCACGTGGGCGCTGTATCTGATAATGCCTGTCATTGAGTCAACTGGCGTGGTTTCGAAAGGCCAGTTGTACGTGACAAGGAGTAGGGTCTCCTGTCCAACCTCGTGGGTTTTCTCCAGGTCCTCCAGTTTCCTCCCACTGCTAAAGACCCCTACGGGGAATCGAATTATTGAAATAAAATTAAACCATATGTTTTTGTCGAGTGGGCATTAAACCCAGTTTCCCTCTCTCTCTAAAGTCTTGTTTCCATTTTTATACAGGAATAGTGCATCCTACTGACAAAGGTTGTAGAAGAATCGAAGAGAGAGAAATGAAATGAAATGGGGTTTAACGTCCTACTGTTCTGCTCCTAAACTGGGCTAATGAAGACGGGCATACGCCATACAGTGTACTATGAGGGGAAATTTTGCCCTACAGCCTACTCTTGTATCGAATTCCAACTGCCAAGGGATCTTTTATGTGCATGCCAATGTGTACACGGGACCTCGGTTTTTAGTCCCATCCGAACGACTAGACAGCTGTCCTTGTCAGGCCCTCCGTCCTGCATCACTGACAAGGGGAAACCACGCTGGAAAATATGGATGAACTTTCTCGGCCAATGCAGGGATCGAACACCCGACCTCCAGGCTAGAGAGCCAGCGTCTTACCCACTTAGCCACATGATCCCTGAAGAGAGAGAAATAGGGTTTAGCACTTGACATGGAATGACCCATAGGGGACTTTACTCCTTTTCACGTACAAGCAGGGATTCAAAACCACATCATGACTCAATGAACCATTCAGCCAGTTCGCTCCTACTGCTCAAGAAATGACCTAGGAAACTAATGATGTTATAACTTTTATATATTACAGGATACTAATAATATAACTTATCACAGGAAACTAATGATGTTATAACTTTTATATATTACAGGATACTAATAATATAACTTATCACAGGAAACTAATGATGTTATAACTTTTATACATTACAGGAAGCTAATAATATAACTTTTATATATTACAGTAAACTAATGATGTTATAGCTATTATATATTACAGGAAACTAATGATGTTATAACCTTCGTATATTTCAGGAAACTAATAATGTTAAAACATTCCATCATTGTGTTTTTTGTGATGAGATTTTTAAAGAGTACAGTGATCTAGATCTTCACTATGAACTACACGTGAACAAGAAGATCCATGTTGAAGGAGAAAAAATTGACAGTATCGTAAAACACCGCAAAAGACATGTTAAAACGGGGCAAATTGCTAATGTTGTAAAACTCCGCAAAAGACATGTTAAAACGGGGCAAATTGCTAATGTTGTAAAACACCGCAAAAGACATGTTAAAACGGGGCAAATTGCTAATGTTGTAAAACACCGCAAAAGACATGTTAAAAAGGGGCAAATTGCTAATGCTGTAAAACTCTGCAAAAGACATGTTAAAAAAGACGATATTGATAATGCTGTAAAACTCTGCAAAAGACATGTTAAAAAAGACGATATTGATAATGCGGTAAAACTCCGCAAAAGACATGTTCAAGAAGAAAAAATTGATGTGGAAAAACTTCACAAGAAACATGTTAAAGAAGAGGAAATTGATAACTTGAATTATTTTCAGTGTAACTTGTGTGAAAGAAAATTTGATTTATACACTGATTTAGAAGAACATTGTAAAATACATATGGAATATGAAGAATCTCCTATCATAGGACAAAATGTTAAAGAAAGCGAATCTATTGCAAGTACTTTATATCAATGTACATTATGTCAAATTTGCTTTGAGCAATATTTTGACCTGGAAGAACATTGTAAACTTCATGGATATCAATGTACAGGCAGAGTTAGGTCTTCCATTAGGTACATGTATATTTAATGTATATTCTATGTTAGAGGAAACTAACGATGTTAAACCTTTCCATCAGTGTATTGTTTGTACCTTTAGACAAACCTTTTAGGAGCTGCGGTGGCTAAGTGGGTAAGCCGCTGGAGGTCGCGAGTTCGATCCCTGCAGTGGCCGAGAAAGTTCATCAGGATGTTCTGATGTGGTTTCCCGTTGTCAGTGGTGCAGGAATGAGGGTCTGACAAGGACAGCCGTCTAGTGGTTCGGATGGTACGGAAAACTGAGGTCCCGTGTACACATTGGCGTGCACGTACAAGATCCCATGACAGTTGGTATTCGATATAAGAGTAGGCCGTAACCCCGCTGTCCGGGCAATATTTCCCTCATAGCACACTGTATGGCGAATGCCCGTCTTCATTAGCCCAGTTCGGAGCGGGACAGTAGGACGTTAAACCCCATTTCATTTCATTTGTATTTTGTACAGGTCATTTATAAATCGGGGCCACGGGGGCTCGGTGATTTAAGTCGCTGAAGCATTAACAAGCAGGTCCGGGTTCGATCCAGGCGTTGGCCGAGAAATGTTCTCTTGTCATTGGAGGACGTAAAAGATTCCATGGCAGTTGGAATTCGATATAAGAGTAGACCGTAGCGCCGCTGTCCGGGTAAAATTGCCTTCATAGCACATTGCATGACGTAAACCCGTTTTCATTAGCCCTGTCAGAGCAGAACATTTTATTTGGTTAACCGCGGTGGCGAACTAACTCATTTCATTTCCTTGACAAGTTTAGAAAATGGTTCTTAGTATTGAAAAGTTCACAAATAAATGTATTTGCTTGATGGGTCGTCGCAAAAATACAAGTCTAAACCCAAATAATATGACACATTAAGGGTAGGGGTTATAAAAATTAAGATGGGATTGCTTCCTTGTACGACTTTGATGTAAAAGGACCCAGACACATACTTTTAAATCTGATTAAAACACGGTCCTATTCGTTTCGTTTTTTATAGTTCAAAATTTCGTTCTACTTGTCTTCACAACACTACGATCTGGAAGAGTTGTTATATAACAGGTGGTCTGCTTGATGTGAGGAATTAGCCAATGAACCGGCCTGTTACAGCGACTTCTTGGCATGTTGTGAATGGAACACTATAGAAACGTCAACGCTGATTGATTAATCAATGTCTGACGTAAAGGGTGAAAAGACACTCATATAACCCCTAAAGCGACCTCCCACTACCGTCAGATCTTCGAATAGTAGAGGCCGTCGAAAGTATCAAAAACGAAACGAAATATAGATCTGTATTTTAATCGGATTGGAGTGAAATGTTTGTATTCTATAAACGTAATGTCTAACACTTTATTTGAACCATGTATGTTTTTTGATTAAATATTGGACAGCTTTGAGATAGCAATAATGTAGAATAAATGCTTGCATTGTTTAAACTACATTTGTTAAACTAAACATACATTATGACGTCACATTAATAATGATGTCATTGTAATAATCATATTAAACATAGATTATGCAAGAGCTAAATCTGTCTATTGCAGGTTTTTCTTTAGGCCTAAAATGTTATCTAAATTATTAATTACACATTTATTAACAAAACAAGACCATAATCGACTCTCGATGGCATCGGATACTCAAGATTTTAACTAGATTAGAACGGTTCGCCATTTAAAAATTTAATGTAAAATTGGGAAAGCGAGGCTAAGTCCCGATTTCAATATTTCTTTTTTTATCATCTAATTTTGAATTATTATAGCAAGAATGGCCAACTCTTTATTAAACTCTTAACTAATGTATCTTTAACTATTCCCCAGATTCAAAAGAAAATACATCCAAAACAGTTTTCTGTGAACACTGTGGGGTTCTTCAGAAGCAGATAAGAGAATTAGAAGCGAAGCTGGATAAAGCCAACAATAAATTGGAAGATAGTCGATATGTTGATATACCTGTCAATACCTACACAGGTATGTACATTTATATATACCTACAGTGTTTTATCAAAATTCAGATTTTTCACTCAAATTTTAAAAAACGCACTGGAACATGTGTAACACTTTGGTCCTTAAGACAATTTTGGTTCTTTGAAAAATTGTTACTTTACTCTGTCTATAGAGTCAAATCACACGTACTTAATGAACGTGAATAGATAGTTATACATAAAAAAACCCAGTGATATTTTGGTAAAATCATAACCATTGTCAAGATATCCATCAAGTTCTGTCTGTTAATTGACCTATGGTTGGTAGGCTAAATAATGTAATGTCTCCTCCTTTAGTCCTGTGAAATAAAGAGATTTATTCCATATTTGGGATGGAAATTAACGTCAAGGCTATCTAAGACGTACAGAAATTAGAGGGTATAAATTAGGGTGTAGAGTGAAATGGATCAAAGCTCATTCAGATATTCCTAGCAGCTATTATTATTGAGGACGAGGAACATTTAAAGCCATTACAGCTTAGCAATAAAGTTGTAAAATCATTGATTCTGTAGTGTTATTACGATCATGAAGAAACAAGTCCGATAGCTTGTTAAGCCATGGTCTGGCTAAAGCTAGATTTGTCTCGAATGAAAGCAATACTGATGGTTTGCTCCACTGATGTAAATCTTGTTGACCATTTAGGGAGCAATGGTGCCTTAGTAAGACGTTGGCTCGCTAATCTGGGGTCCCATGTTCGATCCCTGTGTTGGCCGAGAAAGTTCATCGCGTCTTTCCGGCGTGGTTCCTCCTCGTCAGTAGTGCAGGACAACGGAACAACGTATGGCCGGTCGGATTTTGACGAAACGCCGCGGTCCCGTGTACACATTGGTGTGTACATAAAAGATCCCTTGACAGTTGGAATTCGATACAAGAGTAGGCTGTAGAGCCACTGTCATGGCAAAAATCCCCTCATACTACACTGTATGGCGTATGCCAGTCTTCATAAGACCAATCGTAGCAGAACAGTAGGACGTTAAACCACGTTTCATTTGGAGACAATCCTTACAATCCTATAATCCTCTAAGTCAGTTTTCAAAACTAAAATGTTTTAATTTTGAATGTTTGCAGGGACAGGTAGAGGCACCTCAAAACAAGGAAAGTAATATGCCTCGACCAAGTAGACCTCCACACTTCCATTATGTAGCTTTTATTTTCAAGTGAAATATAATACAATTTCTAAGTATTATTGTGTAGAAAATATAAACCATTATTCAGAAAATATGAAACTATCGTTAAAACATGTAAATTCTGATGAACGAGTCGTTATTATATTTTTTACAGACACTGTATTGCCCTGAGCCTGTAGAGTTAATAAAAGAGCAGCAGAGAAATATAAAGTAAGCAGGCCTATTTATAAATCGGGGGGTTGGATGGCCGAATGGTTAGCACGTGCGCGCTGTATCATAAGGCCTGTCATTGAGTCAACTGGCGTGGTTTCGAATACAAGGAGTATGGTCGCCTGTCCAACCTCGTGGGTTTTTGCCGAGTCCTCTGGTTTCCTCCCACTGCTAAAGACCCCTACGAGCAACACCCCTCAGTCTATTTATAATTCATTCATTGTTAATTTGTTGTTTCAGTTTGAGTAAAGTCCCCCACCCCCACCCCAATAAGCAGGCCTATTTATAATTCATTTGTAGTAACGCCCCCTAGTTCCCCCCCCCCCCCACTTTTGTTTCATTTTGAGTGATGCCTGTATCATTACAATCCCAGGACTATACAACACAGTTGGAGTTTACGATTGGGTTGGAACCCCGAACCCATTCACTTATACAGATGTGACGTCATCCTTTGATTGGGTTGTCGAATGGTTTAAAGCATGCGCGTTGGATCATAATGTCTGCCATTAAGTCACGTGGCGCGGTTTTGAATCCCCGCCTGTACGTGACAAGGAGTGGGATCGCGAGCGAATTATTGAAGTAGTACTGAATCATATGTTAGTTACGAAGTGACCTAGGTTTGACACCCCCCCCCCTCTCTCTCTCTCTCTCTCCCCGCCCACCGCCCCCACATCTATTTGTATACATAGCTATATTATTTTGTTTCAGATGATTGAACTCTGTCATGGGTATGGTGTGTTCATATATCCATCAGATCTCGTCCACGTCAAGAAATTATTCGAGTGGACAATCCGTGACTCGTCACCTTCTGAGCGTCATGTTTACAAAAGAAGAGCTATGTTTCGGTTCAGTATCAAAAGATCCTAAACCTGGTCTGGCGTCATTGGATGCAACCGTAGTTCAAGCCATTAGAGGTAAAATTTTGTTTTCACAGTGTGGCATGGTTACTATGGTGCCAGCATATTAACACCACGTTCGATCTCGGTGTAGGCCGAGAATATTTTTCGAAATTTTCCATTCCGGTTTCTTCTTGTCAATGGTGCTGGGCGGTGTGTCTGACAAGGACAAGATCTAGCTCTTGTCAATGGTGCTATGGGCGGGGTGTCTGACAAGGTCATAATCTAGCTCTTGTTAATGGTGCTAGCCGGGGTGTCTGACAAGGTCATAATCTAGCTCTTGTTAATGGTGCTAGCCGGGATGTCTGACAAGGACACGCCTCTAGCTCAAATGGTTAACAGAAAATCAGGATTTATCCGTGTCGTGCTAAAAAAGGCGCTTGACAGTTGGTTTAGACCCTGCACTGTAACAAACATATCCATGTAAAAACGTAAAAAAATTACGGAAACAAAAATTACCATGAAAATTTTATCCGTATTTATTTATCCTTTAATTTACAGAAATTCCTTCAATTAACATAAATTCCATTTGGTAAATTTTGTTTCCTGAGCATGAAGGTGATAAAAATTTCATTGAACGAACCATTGACTTTATACGTGTGCATTAATGACTTTATTTACTGTCCGCTTCCACCAAAGTCATATCGAAGGAAATCTTTAAACGTAACCTCTGTTCGCTAATATAAGAATCGAGAGCAAGGTATCACAAACCGCTACTCGACGGTGGTTGGAGGCTTTCAGATGTGAGTTTGCGGTATTATCAATTTGCAGGTATGTAGACGCTGTCATAGAGACAAACCGACTTACACTG